CGATCCCTCCTGACAGATGGCCATCTAGCCTTGGCTTAATAATAATAATAGTCATAGTAGAATCCTGGAGTTGGAAGGGATCCCCAAAGGTCATCTAGACAGATGGCCATCTAGCCTCTACTTAATGATGATGATGATAATGATAGATTCCTAGACTTCAAAGGGACCCCCAAAGGCCATCCAGTCCAACCCCCTTCTTCCTGTCAGCCAGGGAAAAAGCAGCACCCGATCCCTCCCAGCAGATGTCCACGCGGCATCGGCCCACTCACCATCTCGGTGTCCTGACCCCGAAGGAGCGGCTTTTCCTCGGTGAAGCGCTGCTCGTGCAGCCCGGCCATGGCCACCTCCTGCAGCAACAGTCCTGCCCGGGAGGGAAGGAAGGGAGACCCCTTAGACGCACCCCCAAAGGGACCCCCAAAGGCCACCCAACCCAGCCCCCTCCCCACACATTGCATTTAATTATATTATATTGCATTTCACTATATATTGTATTGTAATGTATACTATTATTGCATTATAATGTATTATGTTATATTATATTTTATTTATTATATATAATTACATTATTATTATTATTAGGTTGCCTTGGGATTGAAATAAATACAAAACGACTTGAAGGCACAATATTTAATTGCATTGTATTTAATTATATTATCTTGTATTTAATCATATATTGTATTGTAATGTATACTATTTTGCATTACAATGTATTATGTTATATTATGTTATATTATATTATATTTATTATATATAATTACATTATTATTATTATTATTATTATTATTATTATTATGTTGCCTTAAGGTTGCCATAAATACAAAACGACTTGAAGGCACAATGTTTAATTGCATTGTATTGCATTGTATTTAATTATATTATATTGCATTTCATTACATGTTGTATTGTAATGTATACTATATTTTGCATTATAATGTATTATGTTATATTATATTAATTATATATAATTACATTATTATTATTATTATTATTATTATTAGGTTGCCTTGGGATTGCCATAAATACAAAATGACCTAAAGGCACAATATTTAATTAAATTGTATTTAATTATATTATATTGTATTTCATTATATATTGTAATTATACTATATGGCATTATAATGTATTATATCATATTATTATTATTATTATTATTATTATTATTATTATTAGGTTGCCTTAAGGTTGCCATAAATACAAAATGACTTGAAGGCACAATATTTAATTGTATAATTATATTGTATTTCATTATATATTACATTGTACTGTATTTAATTATACTATATTGCATTATAATGTATTATATCATATTATTATTATTATTATTATTATTATTATTATTATTATTATTATTAAATTGCCTTGGGATTGCCATAAATACAAAATGACTTGAAGTCACACTATTTAAGTGCATTGTATTTAATTATATTATATTGTATTTCATTATATATTGTATTGTACTGTATTGTATTATACTATATTGCATTATAATATATTATATAATATTATATTATTGTATTTAATTATACTATATTGCATTATAATGTATTATTTTATAATATATTATGTTATATTATTATTATTGTTGTTGTTGTTATTATTATTAAGTTGCCTTAGGATTGCCAAAAATACAAAATGACTTGAAAGAACAATATTTAATTATATTATATGTAATTATATATTGTATTGTAATGTATACTATATGGCATTATAATGTATTATGTTATATTATATTATATTATATTTATTATATAATTACATTATTATTATTATTAGGTTGCCTTAAGGTTGCCATAAATACAAAATGACTTGAAGGCACAATATTTAATTGCATTGTATTTAATTATATACAGTACTGTATTATACTATATTGCATTATAATATATTATATAATATTATGTTATTTTATTATTATCATTATTATTATTATTATCATCATTATCAGGTTGCCTTAGGATTGTCAAAAAACACAAAATGACTTGAAGGAAGAATATTTAATTATATTTAATTATGTATTGTATTATACAATATTGCATTATAATGTATTATAGTATTATATATTTATTATATATAAATTATTATTATTATTATTATTACATTTCCTTAGGATTGCCATATATACAGAAGGCAAAATATGTAATTGTATTGTATTTAATTATATATTGTATTATAATGTTTTATATAATATTATATTATATTATGTTATATTATTATTATTAGGTTGCCTAGGGATTGCAAAAATACAAAATGACTTGAAGAAACAATATTTAATTATATTATATTTAATTATGTATTGTATTGTATTATAGTATATTGCATTATAATGTATTATATTATGGTATATTTATTATATTTAATTGCAGTATTATTATTATTATTATTATTATTATTAGGTTGCCTTAGGATTGCCGTAAATACAAAAGGCACAATATTTAATTTTATTGTATTTAATTATATATTGTATTGTATTGTATTTAATTATACTATATTGCATTATAATGGTTTATATAATATTATATTATGTTATTATTATTATCAGGTTGCCTTAGGATTGCCAAAAATACAAAATGACTCAAAGGAACAATATTTAATTATATTTAATTATGTATTGCATTGTATTATACTATACTGCATTATAATGTGTTATAGTATGGTATATTTATTATATATAAATTATTATTATTATTATTATTATTATTATTATTACATTTCCTTAGGATTGCCATATATACAAAAGGCACAATATTTAATTGTATTGTATTTAATTATATATTGTATTATAATGTTTTATATAATATTATATTATGTTATATTATTATTATTATTATTAGGTTGCCTTAGGATTGCAAAAATACAAAATGACTTGAAGAAACAATATTTAATTATATTTATTTATGTATTGTATTGTATTATATTATAGTATATTGCATTATAATGTATTATATTATGGTATATTTATTATATATAATTTCATTATTATTATTATTATTAAGTTGCCTTAGGATTGCCGTAAATACAAAAGGCACAATATTTAATTGTATTATATTTAATTATATATTGTATTGTATTTAATTATACTATATTGCATCAAAATGTATTATATTAATTATATGTAATGACATTTATTATTATTATTATTATTATTATTATTATTATTATTATTATTATTATTATTGGGTTCCCTTAGGGTTGCCATAAATACAAAAGGACTTGAAGGCACACAACAATTGTACTCGAGCGCATCATGGAATTAATGCACATTTGACCCCACTCGAACCACTCAAGGCTATAGAATCCTATGGGAGCTGTAGTTTCACAAGTCACACCCAAGGAGGAAGAAGAGGAAGAAGAAGAACAGGAGGAAGAGGAAGAGGGGGAAGGGGTTTTCGTTCTAGTTAGCTTTCAGAATGTTTTACTATGTATTGTTATTAGATGAGTGTTATAGATTGTATATGTATTGATTTAATGTATTTGCATGTGAGGTGGATTGTTGAGAAGGAGGAGAAAGAACAGATGGTGGAAGAGGAGGAAGAGGAAGAAGGAAGAGAAAGAGGGAGGAGGAGGAGGTCAAGGAAAAGAGGAAGAAGAAGAAGAACAAAAGGAGAAAGAAGGAGGAGAAGAGAGTGGAAGAGGAGGAGAAAGAGATGGAGAAGGAAGAGAAGAAGAGGGAGAAGAAGAGGAAGAGAAGGAGGATAGGAAGAGGAGGGGGAAAGGAAAAAGAAGAGGAAGAACAGGAGGAGAAAGATGCAGAAGGAGGAGGAGAAGAGGGGAAGGTAGAGAAGGAAGAAAAGGAAGGAGGAAGAAGAAAAAAGGAGAAGAGGAAGAAGAGAGGGAAAGGAGGAAGAAGAGGAGGAACAGGAGGAGAAAGATGCAGACGAAGGAGGAGGAGAGGGGGAGGTGGAGAAGGAAGAAGAGGAAGGAGGAAGAAGAAAAAGGAGAAGAGAAAGAAGAGAAAGAAGAGGAGGAGGAGAGGAAGAAGAGACGATGAAAAGAGGAGAGGAAGAAGAGAGGGAAGGGAGAAAGAAGAGGAGGAACAGGAGGAGAAAGATGCAGAAGAATTAGGAGAAGAGGAGGGGAAGAAAAAGAAGAAGAGGAAGGAGGAAAGAAGAAGAGAAGGAAGGGGAGGGAGGAGAAGAAGAGGGGGAGGAGGAGGAGGAAAGAGCTGCCTCATTGGGGGGTGGGTCTCCTTTGCCTGGGACCTGTCTCCTCCTCCTCCTTCCTTCCTTCCTTCCTTCCTTCCTTCCTTCCTTCCTTCCTTCCCTTCCTTCCTTCCTTCCTTCCTTCCTTCCTTCCTCCCTCCCTCCCTCCCTCCCTCCCTTCTATTCTTCCTTCCTTCCTTCTCCCTGGAGCAAGCCATGAGCCCTGCATCTGCTGCCAAGTCCCTGCCAAGAAGCAGCAGCAGCAGTCCAGACTGCGGACGGGGAAAACAGGGGGGCGTTTCCCCAGGCCACGCAGGAAACAGAACAGATGGGGAGAGGGGGGGGGCAAGGGACAGGGACCCCCCACCCACACACACATCCACCCACCCACCCCTGATGCTTCCTGGGAGGGAGGGGGAGGGCCCAGTTCCCCGCCCCCTCTTCCAAGAGAGCTGCGTCAAACCCCCAAAAAGGGACGGGGGGGGGGGCACCGAAGGACCCTCCCTCCCCCCCTTGGGTTGCATCAGGGACCCACACCCCTCTCAGTAGATCCAGGATACAGGTAGATAGAGTAGATAGGTAGGTCAGGTAGGTAGGTAGAGAAATAGAGAGATGGAGAGAGAGAGAGAGAGAGAGAGAGAGAAATAGATAGATAGATAGATAGATAGATAGATAGATAGATAGATAGATAGATAGATAGATAAGATAGATAGATAGATAGATAGATAGATAGATAGATAGATAGATAGATAAGAGACAGATAGATAAGTAGATAAATAGATTGATAGATAGAGGAAATAAATAAATATATAGATAGATGGAAAAATAGACAGACAGAGAAATAGATAGATAGATAGATGGATGGATGGATGGATGGATGGATGGATGGATAGATAGATAATTTCCCCAAGTGAGGGCCCAAAGCCATACGAAGCCCATCAGCATCTCAAGAGGGCTGCAAACATAATTTCTTTCCTATTTATACACACCTAAGGTAAACATATAGTACGCATATACATACACACAGAGGGGTGGATAGATAGGCAGACAGACAGATATATAGACAGATAGACGGATAGATAGATAGATGGATGGGTGGGTGGATAAGTAGATGGATAGGTAGATAAGTGGATGGATGGATAGCTAATAGATAGGCAGGTGGACAAGTAGATAAATGGATGGATCGATGGATAGGTAGAAAGATTAGATAGATAGATAGATAGATAGATAGATAGATGGATGGATGGATGGATGGATGGATGGATGGATGGATGGATGGATGGGTGGGTGGGTGGGTGGGTGGATACATAGACAAATGGATGGCTGGATAGGTAAATTGATGGATGGATAGATAGATTGATAAATTGATAGATGAATAGATAGATAGAAAGATTGATAAATGGATAGATGGATAGATAGATAGAAAGATAGATAGATGATAGACAAATTGATGGATTAATAGGTAAATTGATGGATGGATAGATAAATGGATACACAGACAGATAGGTAGATAGATGGATGGATGGGTGGGTTGGCGGATGGATAGATAAATAATAGATTGATAAATGGGTGGATGGGTGGGTGGATGGATGGATGGATGGATAGATAGATAGATAGATGGATGGATGGATGGATGGATGGATGGATGGATGGATGGATGACAGGCAGGCAGACAGATGGGTGGGTGGATGGATACATAGACAAATGGATGACTGGACAGGTAAACAGATGGAATGATAGACAGATTGATAAATGGATGGATGGATGGATGGATGGATGGATGGATAGATAGATAGATAGATAGATAGATAAATGGGTGGATACTAGATAGATAGATAGATAGATGGATGGATGGATGGATGGATGGATGGATGGATGGATGGATGGATGAATGGGTGGGTGGGTGGGTGGGTGGGTGGGTAAATGGATGGGTAGATAAATAAATAGGTTGATTGATAAATGGGTGGATAGATAGATAGATAGATAGATAGATAGATAGATAGACAGACAGACAGACAGACAGAAATGATGGATGGATGGATAGATGGATGGATGGATGGATGGATGGATGGATGGATGGATGGATGGATAGATACATACATAGAGAGAGAGGGATGGATGGATGCAAGTGACCCCCCCAAGGAATCCTTCCTCCTCTTTGCAAGGCAACCCCCCCCCCTGCTGAAAGGAAAGGTGTGTGGTTACCTGTGAGCACCTCTATCTTGTGTCCCCAGAGCCTCATGGCGGAGACCCAAGGAAAAGGGGGAAAGAAGGAAAGAAGGAAGGGAGGAAAGGAGGAAAGGAGGAGGAGAAGGAGGCCTGGCTGGCTCTGCTCTGCTCGGGTCCGCTCTCTCCTTGCGCTGCGGGCAGGGCTCCAGGGATGGAAGGAAGGAAGGAAAGAAGGAGGGAGGAGAAGAAAGAGAAGGGGGAGGAGGAGGAGAGAAAGGGGGGGGGTGCCAGATCCCCGCCCCATTGGGTGTCCCTGCCAAAAGAGGGAGGGAGGGGGGAGAGAGAAGTGGGGCGCTCCTTCTCCGTCATCAACACATTGGGAGGAGGTAAACAAGTGGGTGGAAATTGGGGGGGGGGGGTTGTGTGCTTGACATTGGGAGAGACCCCCCCCCACTCTTTTCTAAAGGGCCCCCTCCCCAAATGGAGCCAGGCAGCCTCGCCCTGGGGGTGTCCCCTGAGAGAGGAGGGGGGAAGGAAGAGAAGTCGGGAATGGGGCGCATTCCCTTGGGGGGCATTCAGGAGACCCTCCCTCAGTCCATTGAGGATGAGAGGGTGGGGGTCTTTTGGGGAAAATGGGAGGGGGGCTACTTACACCTCTTCCTCCTCTTCCTCTGCCCCCGCAGGGTGCTTTCCTTCCTCTTCCTCCCTTCTTCCTCCCTTCTTCCTTCCTTCCTTCCTTCTCTTCCCGGCTGCAAGCGACTCCCAGCCCGACGCAGACCCCCCCTCCCTTCCTTTTCCAGATGGAGAGGGGAGGGGCCCAGAGGTGTCTCCATGGCAACGCCCCCGCCCCGCCCACACGGGTTGATGGACAGCTCAAGGAGGGGAAGGGGGCAAAGGATGCAAAAGAGGGAGAAGGGGCTTCCATTGGGGCAAAGGATCATCATCATCATCATCATCATTATTATTATTATTATTATTATTATTAACAATTATTGTTGATCATAATTACTTTAATCATCATTAACTGTTATTAAATGGCATTAGTTATTGTGTATTATTATTATTTCATCTTTAGTAATAATTTTGTATTATTATATTCATTGCTATTGTTATTGTTGTTATTATTATTATTATTATTATTATTATTATTATTAATCTTTTGCCCCCTCCCCATTTCCTCCAAGGAGGATTTCTGGGGTCTTTCCAACAGCAAAGGAGAGGGTCAGGGTCAATACAGACATACAGACATAAATATATAATAATTAACTGATAACACTAAGTTATTATTTTGAGTTGTCAATTTTTTTATGTATTATCAATGATTATTTATTGAATTTGAAAAAATATAGACATACAGATATACAGACATAAGGACATAATAATTAATTTATAATACTAAGTTATTATTTCGAGGACATTGTCCATTATTTTTTTATTTATTATCAATTATTGAATTTGGAAAAATAAATTATTATTATCAATTTTTATTTATTATCATTTATTTGCTGTAGAACACTAAATTATAATTATTATCAATTTTTTATTTATTATCCATTATGATTAATAATTAACCAACACATTAATAACAATAATTTATTGATTATTTATTGAATTTAGAAAATTAAATTATTATCAATTATTTTTGTTTATTATCAATGATTGTTTATTTACTGTAGAACACTAAATTGTAACTATTATCAATGATTATATTTATTATCCATTATGATTTATTGATAATTAACCAATAAATTAATAACAATAATTTATTATTTATTGAATTTAGAAAATTAAATTATTATCAATTACTTTTGTTTATTATCAATGATTATTTATTCACTGTAGAACACTAAATTATAACTATTATTGATTATTTCATTTCAATAATATAATCAATATTATATTGATTATTATTATTTATTAGTTAATTGTTAATAAATTTATATTTAACTAATAATTAATTAATAATTTATTAATTAGTTAATAACTAATTAACAATAACAATTTTTATTATTAATTATTAATCATTATTGTTCATTATTAATAATCATAAGTATTATTTATTGGAGCGTTGTTTGATTTGTGGGCTATATGGCCGTGTTCTAGCATTGATTATTGATAATAATGATTCATGATCAATTATTTAATATCTTTACTTATTATCTATTATTATTATTAACAATTACTGTCAATCATAATTTTAATCATTATTAATTATCAACAATAAATTCTTATCTATTATTAATAAGAATTATTATTTTATAATTACTTATTATTATGAATATTATTTATTATTTATTTAAAGTTATTATATTAGTATTAATATAATATTAATAATAATATTATGTTATATCAACAATATAATTGTTATTATAATATTATTAATATAATATTATTAATAATAATATAACATTATTAATATAACATTATTATACTAACAATATAATGGTGGTTGATCATAAATATTTTAATCATCGTTAACTATTATTAATGATACATTATTAAATGTCATTAGTTATTGTGTATTATTATGTAATTATTAATAATATTTTTATACTATTATATTCTATTATTATTATTATTATTATTATTATTATTAGGTGAGCTCTTCTGAACAAAGGCATAGACGGCAAAAGAAACACCACTTTAGATTCCCTTTGGAATCGAAAGCAGAAGTTACATTTTAAATGGCACCTGTTCCAACTTACATACAAATTCAACTTACGAACAAAACTTCAATGATAAAAGAAAAGAAGAAAAAAGGGGAAAATCTTGAGGAATGCAGAAAGAAGGAGAAAGAAGGTTTTGAAGAAGGAAAGAGAAGGGAAAGGAATCTCTTGAAGAAAGAAGGAAGGGAAGCTATTGAGGAAGAGAAAAAAGGAAAATATTGAGAAAGGAAGAAGAAATATTAAGGAAAGAAGGAAGGAAGGATGGAAGGATGTTTTTGGAGAAGGATAGAGAAGAAAAAGAAAAATAAGGAATGAAGGAAGCAAGTATGGAAGGAAGGAAGGAAAAGTCTTGAGGAAGAGAAGGAAGGAAAATATTGAGAAAGGAAGAAGAAATGTTGGGGAAAGGTGGAAGGAAGAATGTTTTTGGAGAAAGATAGAGAAGAAAAAAATAAGGAGGAAGGAAGGAAGGAAGAAAGGAAGGAAGGAAGGAAGGAAAACTCTTGAGGAAGAGAAGGAAGGAAAATATTGAGAAAGTAAGAAAAGAATATTGTGGAAGGAAGGAAGGAAGGAAGGAAGGAAGGAAGGAAGGAAGGAAGGAAGGAAGGAAGGAAGGATGTTTTTGGAGAAAGATAGAGAAGAAAAAAATAAGGAGGAAGGAAGGAAGGAAGAAAGGAAGGAAGGAAGGAAAACTCTTGAGGAAGAGAAGGAAGGAAAATATTGAGAAAGTAAGAAAAGAATATTGTGGAAGGAAGAATGTTTTTGGAGAAAGATAGAGAAGAAAAAAATAAGGAGGAAGGAAGGAAGGAAGGAAGGAAGGAAGGAAGGAAAACTCTTGAGGAAGAGAAGGAAGGAAAATATTGAGAAAGTAAGAAAAGAATATTGTGGAAGGAAGGAAGGAAGGAAGGAAGGAAGGAAGGAAGGAAGGAAGGAAGGAAGGAAGGAAGGAAGGAAGGAAGGAAGGAAGGAAGAAAGAAGGAAGGAAGGAAAGAAAGAAAGAAGGAAGGAAGGAAGAAAGAGGAAGAAAGAAAGAAAGAAAGTAAAGAAAGAAAGGGAAGGAAGGAAGGAAGGAAGAAGGAAGGAAGGAAGGAAGGAAGGAAGGAAGGAAGGAAGGAAGGAAGGAAGGATGTTTTTGGAGAAAGATAGAGAAGAAAAAAATAAGGAGGAAGGAAGGAAGGAAGAAAGGAAGGAAGGAAGGAAAACTCTTGAGGAAGAGAAGGAAGGAAAATATTGAGAAAGTAAGAAAAGAATATTGTGGAAGGAAGGAAGGAAGGAAGGAAGGAAGGAAGGAAGGAAGGAAGGAAGGAAGGAAGGAAGGAAGGAAGGAAGGAAAATATTGAAGGAGGAAAGAAGGGAGAGAAGGAAGGACAGGGGTTTTGGAGAAAGAAATAGAAGGACAGAAAAATATTGAAGAAGAGAAGGAAGGAAGGAAAACACTGAGAAAAGAAGAAAACATATTGAGGAAAGAAGGAAAGAAGGAAGGAAGAATGGTTTTGGAGAAGGAAAGAGAAGGAAAAGAAAAATAAGGAAGAGAGGGAGGGAGGGAGGAAATGTCTTGAGGAAGAGAAGGAAGGAAGGACAATATTGAGAAAGGAAGAAAAATATTGAGGAAAGAAGGAAGAATGTTTTTGGAGGACAGAGAAGGAAAAGAAAAGGAAAAGGAAAAGGAAAAGGAAGGAAGGAAAACTCTTGAGGAAGAGAAGGAATGAAAATATTGAGAGAGGAAGAAGAAATATTGAGGAAAGAAGGAAGGAAGGAAGGAAGGAAAATATTGCAGCAGAAGAAAGAGAGGAAGAATGGAGGGAAGGAAAGGTCTTGAGGGCTTCCTTCTTTCCTTCCTTCCTTCTTTCCTTCCTTCCAAAAGGGAGTCCCAGCCTTGCCTCCCTTGCAGGCCTGGGAACCTGGGCAGGTGTGGGTTGCCAGGCAACCAGGTGAGGAGCCCCACCTGCCACATCCCTGTTCTGCAAAGAGGGCGGGGTCATGCCCTTGAAATGTTTTTACTGTGACTTTTTTTCCAATAATAATGATGATGATGATGATAATAATAATAATAAATCTGGGTTGCAAGCTATTGGAGTGGGGTTATTCCGACTTTTCTGGACGGTCACCATGCAAACCAGCCAGAAGGAGAGGGCAGTGGCTGGAGGATGACCTTTGCAGGCGGGCAGCAGTGGGAGGCCGGCCAGGCCAGGCGTGTGACTCCATCGATCATACATACCATCGACCGGCTGGCGGCCTTAATGGGCCATTGGCCTGAATGCAAATGGGAAGCGGGGGGGGGGGGGGGGGGTGAGTCCCCAAGATACAAACAAGAGAGGTTCTGCAGGTTGGTTCTTAAGTTGGATTTGTATGTAAGTCGGAATAATTATCTCCATTCTTAACTACGAGTCATACAATAATAATAATAATAATAATTCCCTTCTCTTTCTGTTTATCTCCATTCTTAACTACGAGTCATATAATAATATTAATAGTAATAGTAATAATAATAATAATAATTCCCTTAGAATCATAGAATCCAAGAGTTGGAAAGACCTCATGGGCCATCCAGTCCAACCCCATTCTGCCAAGAAGCAGGAATATTGCATTCAAATCACTCCTGACAGATGGCCATCCAGCCTCTGTTCAAAAGCTTCCAAAGAAGGAGCCTCCACCACACTCCGAGGCAGAGAGTTCCACTGCTGAACGGCTCTCACAGTCAGGAAGTTCTTCCTCATGTTCAGATGGAATCTCCTCTCTTGTAGTTTGAAGCCATTGTTCCCTTGCGTCCTAGTCTCCAAGGAAGCAGAAAACAAGCTTGTTCCCTCCTCCCTATGGCTTCCTCTCACATATTTATACATGGCTATCATGTCTCCTCTCAGCCTTCTCTTCTTCAGGCTAAACATGCCCAGCTCCTTAAGCCGCTCCTCATAGGGCTTGTTCTCCAGACCTTTAATCATTTGAGTCGCCCTCCTCTGGACACATTCCAGCTAAGTGTCAATATCTCTCTTGAATTGTGGTTTCTCTTTCTGTTTATCTCCATTCTTAACTATGAGTCACATAATAATAATAATAATAATAATAATCCCCTTCTCTTTCTGTTTATCTCCATTCTTAACTACGAGTCATATAATAATAATAATAATTCCCTTCTCTTTCTGTTTGCTTATCCCCATTCTTAACTATGAGTCATATAATAATAATAATAATAATTTCATAGAATCATAGAATCAAAGAGTTGGAAGAGACCTCATTTCTCTCTTTTCCTGTTTGCTTAACTCCATACTTAACTATGAGTCATTAGCAAGTCGGATGTTTGTAACTTAGAGACAACCTGTAATTTGAACCCATGGCTCTACTGAGTCCTCGACCTCGTCTACACTGCTTCGAACTGGATTGTATTGAGTCCCCACTGCCAGATAATCTGGGATAACAGATTATAATCTGGAAATGTGCTATTCCTGTTTTGTAAGGATGATTCCTGTTTTAATTGTGCAATCATTACTTTGAAAAGTGGTCGTTCTGTTCCAGAAACTTTGTTGTTTCTGTGATGAGCTACTCATAGGCAAGCTATCATGGGTGATGTCCCTCCTGCAACGGCAAAGTGGGTGCAGTTTGATGAACGTTCCCCATGTTTTCATGGTAGAACCAACTAGGAAATGGCATTGATGATCCAGGAACAACAATCGCAGTGTTGCACAGTCCAATCTGGGGCCAGATCCTGGGCTGCAGGGCCGGCATTGACCTTCACGCTGGCTCCGAATGTCACCCAGAGCGGGTCAATAACACCACGTGTCCGGGCACTTTGCTAGTCGGCACCCGGGGCTTTTTCTCCCCAAAGCAGGGCCTGGGAGAGGCTGCAAAATGCATGCCGAGGCCCTTGGGCTCTCCTTGGACACCGGGGCCAAAGTCACACCAAAGGACGTTGGCACAAGGCACGGAAGGAAGGCCGGCCTGGCATCCTAGAATCCTAGAGTTGGAAGAGACTTCATGGTCCATCCAGTCCAACTCCATTCTGCCAAGCAGGACAATCGCATTCAAAGCAGCCCCGACAGATGGCCATCCAGCCTCTGCTTAAAAGCCTCCAAAGAAGGAGCCTCCACCACACTCCGAGGCAGAGAGTTCCCAAGATCCAAAGGCAAAAACATGAAGCATAATCCCTTACTAATGGTCAAACAAAAGTCCATGGTAAACAGCTGAAAACAAGACCCAAATCCCAGAATCAGGAAGCCAGAATCGTGCTGCTAAAAGCCAAAGAAAATCCCCAGAAGTTAACATGGGAAGAGCAATGTTGTACTGCCTGTCAGCTACAAGACTAAATACCCTTTGCGAACATGAAAGCATTGCGTTGCCCTTTTTAAGGTGGTACCAGGCATGTAGCTGGGGGGGGGGGGGCTTCACCCCTCCCCCCAAATTCTCATGGTGGTCCACAAAAAGGCCTTACTGGTCCATTATTTAAACTGTTATGTTTATTCATATCATGATCTGATCACCATACTCAATATATTCCATACGCATGGGAGTATTGGGGTAACGATACAAAAGGTTTGCTAGGCTAGACCCTCTTTCACTCAGACTCAGCCCCCCCCCCAAACAAACTAACCCCCCCCCCGAATCAAAATCCTGGCTATGGGCCTGGGTGGTACCTAATTTTCCTACTTGACAGATGAAACTGTCTTTCGGGTTGCAAAGGTCGACAACAGGCTACACACAATTGGTTGGAAACCCACTCCAACCCGGGCTGCCTTCGAACTCATTACCTTTTTGGTCAGAGTGATCATAATGCAGCTGACACTCAGTCTGCTGCGCCACAATCCCGGTGCTGAAATGGGCTGGATAGAAATAATGTAAATAAATAAATAAAAATACATTTCTCGTCCGGGATTTTGACATTTTGTAGGATTTCTCCTGTCATTTCTACTTGATTTTTGTTCCAACATGAGGCTTTGAGGAAACGAGCCACAGATGGTTCTTGCAATCCGAGGGAACAAAAGGAGGAGGAGGCGGCGGCAGCGGAGAGTTTTCCTCCCCAAAGAACTTGGCCTGGATGTCAACAAAGCAGACCTCTCTGGTTGTGTACATCCAAAACGCAGCCCCGTCTAAGATGGGAAATACATAGAGGGTAAGGAATCAGGCTGTCGGGAAGGGAAAAGCCAGGAATCAAACGAGAAAGCCCTAATCTGTCCAATCCCTCTGAAGCAGATGAGGCTGCAAATTGGAAGATCAACGGCGGGAGGGTTTAATTACGCCCGGTTTAGCCCTTAAACCCAATCAGGATTACACGAGGGAGCCATCTGGACTCAGACAACCACTGCAGGGCTTCTCGGACGGCATTGCAAGGAAATCCGTAGGATAATAGATCCCATGGATTCACTTCAAGTGATCCTAATTAAAATCATAAAGGGAACACAAAGATCGGAAGGGATTCTATCCAAAATGGACTGTAATTAAAACCCTGCAAAGATCCATGACTTTGGAGGGTGGCAGGAAAGGAGGGACGCCTCCCAGACGTATGTTTCCCAGGTTACCCATGCTAACTTCTGGGGATTTTCCTTGGCTTTTCGCAGCACGCTTCTGGCTTCCTGAGTCTGGGATTTGGGTCTGGTTTTTAACTGTTTACCATGGACAATGTTGTCTGACCATTACTAAGGGATTATGCTTCATGTTTTTGCCTTGACCGCATTTCTGTGTACGAACCCAAGCGATCTCTTCGATCATCTGGAGAGGCCCTGCTCGCGCTCCCACCTCCTTCGCAGGCACGTTGGTGGGGATGAGGGAGAGGGCCTTCTCGGTGGTGGCCCCCCAACTCTGGAACTCACTTCCCAAGGACATCAGGCATGCCCCAACACTGGCAGTCTTTAGAAGGAGCCTGAAAACGTGGTTGCTCCAGCGTGCCTTCCCAGAATAAGGAAAATTCCCAGCAATATGCCCTCAAATGCACTTTACTACTGGTTTAGGACTGACTGTGCTCCCTCGTCTCTCTTTAAAAACCCTCCTACCAGATATATCCTTCCTTATTCATGCCCAGCGTTTATTTTTTATTTTTTAAACTGTTACATTTGGCCCGGCCATAGGTTTTTAAATCCTTGTGTGTGTTGTGACTCAGCTTGACTCTTGAGTCTGAAGCTGAGCTGTTTGGGCCTTCTGAGCCTGACTTCCTGCAGGATGACGAGGAGGCTGATGGTTTACAGATTCCTGTACATGTTTCAGACGGGGCTGAGAGTGTGGCTGCTGAAGGAGAAACAACAAGTCAGTTCCCCGGGGAAAGGAATGTTCCTTTCATTAGAGAGACTGATAGTGAGAGTGAAATCCCACACAGCCAGGTGGGGGATCTGTCCCAGCTGGACCCAGATAAGGGATTGCATAGCCTTGAAGATAATGAATTAATGAGCAGACAAGATCATTTGCAATTAAGGCTTCGGAGAAGCACTCACTTGGCCAGCAAGCAAGAAGCCAAAGGTGCCCAAGGTCAACGCAATGCTTTCATGTTAGCAAAGGGTATTTAATCGTGTAGTTTTTGTCAGTCCAACATTGCTCTTCCCATGTTAACTTCTGGGGATTTTCCTTGGCTTTTAGCAGCACGCTTCTGGCTTCCTGAGTCTGGGATTTGGGTCTTGTTTTCAACTGTTTACCATGGACTTTTGTTTGACCATTGCTAAGAGATTATGCTTCTTGTTTTTGCCTTTGGATCTTGGGAACTTTGCCTTTACATTTAAGTCTCTGTTTTGCCTATGGAACTATTGCATTTCTATTTCTTTGTTTTGATTTTGCTTTACTTAATAAACTACAACAACCTACAGCCTTGGTGTGGTGGTGTCTGGAGCAAGGTGAAAACTACCCTGAGTTGCAACAGTCTCTAGTTTTATAGTTTTTGTTTTGCTTTTATGGTTTTTATGTGTATTATGATGTGGGTTGTTGTAGGTTTTTTCAGGCTCTATGTCCATGTTCTAGAGGCATTCTCTCCTGACGTTTCGCCTGCATCTATGGCAAGCATCCTCAGAGGTAGTGAAGTCTGTTGGAACTAGGAAAATGGGTTTATATATCTGTGGAATGACCCTAAGTTGCAGCGGTGTGTTACTGTTTATTGGTTATTCTTTATATGTGATTTATATTAATTGTATTGTATTTATTGCTTTTGTTTATTGCTTTTGTTTATTGATGTACTGTTGGGCTTGGCCTCATGTAAGCCGCACTGAGTCCCTTCGGGAGATGGTGGCGGGATATAAATAAAATTCTATTATTTATTATTATTATTATTAAATTCCCATAGAAACAGCTTCCAACACGACTGGGAATGCTCACGCCGTGTGACCATTAAGAAGGCTCCTTTTGAGAAACTCTTACTGGGAAAAGGGTCGATTGTACTGGGACTTTGGATAGATATTACTCCAAAGCATGGAGAAACACGCTTAGATGCCTCCTGCCAAGGAAAAAGGTCACTTTCCTGGCCAACGAGAGCAAATGCCGGGGCAGGAAGAGCAACAAGTGATCCTTCAAACTCCCATAAGTCCCAGCCAACATGGCTGACAGGAAAGGAAGACAAGTACGCTGGTCCAAAAACAGATTCAGAAGGCTAAGTGTTTCCTTGACCGAAGAGGAAGCCCAGAAAGAGTAAAAACAGTCTCGGCTGATGTCCGCAAGCAAACTCAGTTGCCTGGACACCTTAAGAGAGGCATTAAAACATTAACTCCTTTCTGAAATGTTTCTGCTCCAGCCAAGACTGCATCAGAGCATCTTCAGGCGAAGAGGGTTCAAGCCGAACCATGCCGTGATTCCCTGTTGGGTTCTAGAAGAGCCAACACAAGGGATCAAAGGCCGGCAGCACCTCAGGCATCCAGCTCGCTGTGCTTCCTCTTCCTGTAGTTCTGGACCAGGCTGGAGGCCGTGATCTGGGAGGCCTGCCCCATCTCCCAGCCCTGGAAGTCGTTCAGCCCCTTCTGCCCGGCCCGGAACAAGCCCCGCTCCATCTCGTCCAGCCGGGCCACTAAGGCCGACGTGTCCTCGTTGAAGGCGTTCTGGGAGGAGTCCATGATGCGGCGGAAGCGGCTGATGAAGGTCTACGAGAGAAGGGAGAGAGTCAGAACAGCCTAGGATTGGGCAAGCTTCAGCCCTCCCACAAGGTGTTTTGTACTTCAAATCCCACAATTCCTAACAGGCATAGAGCTGTTTGACGGTGGAATCTGTTGGGCGAGTGGGCTTATTAAATAAAGACCCTCCTCATGAATGCACAGCAGAGGAACTTAGCAGCAGCATGACCCAGCACCAGTAACTCAAAGTGATAAAAAGAACAAAAACACACAGAGCTATGTTATCTCTTCCTCTGGAGCAAAATAACATGCTTGTACTATTTACAAGAACAAGGTTTCCATACACAATCTTCCTTCTTTGCTTCCACGGTGGGCTTCTTTCTCATGCAGGTAAACAGCTTTGCTCTCACAGAGGCTCCTCTCACAATGGAATTTCACAAGAGCTTCACACAGTAGCTTTACACACAAGGCTTTCAACCTGGGGCTTCTTTCACAGAAGCTTCTCACACCAGGCCTTCTAGCACTGAGGCCTACCTCACACTGAGACCTTTCCCCCACTGAGGTCTTCTCCCACTGAGAGCTCTCTCAGACTGAGGCGAGCTAACACTGAGGCCTACCTCACACTGAGGCCTACCTCACACTGAGACCTTTCCCCCACTGAGGTCTTCTCCCACTGAGAGCTCTCTCAGACTAAGGCGAGTAAACACTGAGGCCTACCCATACTGAGACCTTTCTCCTACTGAGCCCTTATCCCACTGAGGGCTCTCTCAGACTGAGGCGAGCTAACACTGAGGCCTACCCATACTGAGGCCTACCTCACACTGAGGCCTTTCTCCCACTGAGGCCCTTCTCCCACAGAGACCTTTCACAGACTGAGGATTACTAAGCTACAGGCACACCTGTTTATATTGAACTATAGTTTTTCCTGAGTCATGGCACTCTTTCAGTGCTTGACTCACATTTTTGTAATTAAAAATACCTAGTTAACTTTTAATATTTGCTGCTGCTTTGGAGTCTAATGGAATTTCCATATCTGGAAGTGCTTAGAGTCTGGATGGCCCTCAGTCTGTGAAAGGTCTCTGTGGGAGAAGGGCTTCAGTGTGAGGTAGGCCTCAGTATGGGTAGGCCTCTGTGTTTACTTGCCTTAGTCTGAGAGAGCCCTCAGTGGGAGAAAGCCTCAGTGGGAGAAAGGTCTCAGTGTGAGGTAGGCCTCAGTATGGGTAGGCCTCAGTGTTTACTCGCCTCAGTCTGAGAGAGCCCTCAGTGGGAGAAGGCCTCAGTGGGAGAAAGGTCTCAGGGTGAAGTAGGCCTCAGTATTAGAAGGCCTGGTGTGAGAAGCTTCTGTGAAAGAAGCCCCAGGTTGAAAAGTCTTGTGTGTAAAGCTAGTGTGTGAAGCTCTTGTGAAATTCCAGTGTGAGAGGAGCCTCTGTGAGAGCAAAGCTCTCTTCCTGCCTGGCACGAATAAGGTTGGCTGGCCCTTGGGGCCTCTCTCTCCCAACTTTAGGATCCAATAATAATAATAATAATAATAATAATAATAATAATAATAATCTTTATTTATACCCCGCCACCATCTCCCCGATGGGGACTCGGAGCGACTTACATGAGGCCAAGCCCAAACAACAATAACAATAAAATAAAACCCCGAAAACGCAAACAATAAACAGTAACATAAAACAAATGATTACATAACAATACATGGATTTAAAATCTAAGTTGCTTTGAACTGATGATGGGAATTACGAAAGAGGCTGGAGGGAGGCCGATCAGAAGCAAAGGGAAGGCTTCCGAGGCCACGGTGGCGCAATGGGTTAAACCCTTGTGCTGCTGAACTGCTGACCTGAAAGTTCGCAGTTTGAATACGCGGGACGAGGTGAGCTCCCACTGTTAGCCCTAGCTCCTGCTAACCTAGCAGTTTGAAAATGTGAGTAGATCAATAAGTACCGCTTCGGCGGAAAAGGGCAAAAGATGCTCCAAGTAGTCATGTCGGCCACATGATCAGAAGATGTCTACAGACACAGGCTCCTCGGCTTGGAAACAGAGAAAGAGCACCGCCTCCAGAGCCGGAAATGAAAGGAGAAGCCTTTGCCTTTGTCTGTATATTTCGCATAGTAACAAGGCATTGAATCTTTGCCTGTGTCTGTTTATATATTGCAATCTGCTCTGAGTCGCCTCGGGGAGAAGGGCGGAATATAAATAAATAATTATTATTATTATTATTAAATATTATTATTAAAACCGCTCTGAGTCCCCCTCGGGGTGAGAAAAGCGGTATACAAATACTGTAAATAATAATAATAAATATTATTATCCTGCAACTAAACTGTCGTTCTACCTGCAGGATCGTCTGCGCGAGTTCTGCATTTTCAGGACTGTCAAAATTCAGCATTTGGGAGCCGAAGGCATAGTAGTAGGGCCCCAGCTTGTGCAGGTCCACCACGTTGGCGTCAGCGCTGAAGACGGTCCGCCAGCTCTCCTTGTAAACAGTCGGCAGCTCCACCGAAATGATCCTCTGCTTGTTGTCGTAGAGGCCTTTGGCCAGCCATAGCGGCAGCTCCAGTTTGGTGCCCTGCAAGCCACAGGAAAGGGGAAAAGAGGCAGAGGAGTGAATACTGTACTAAATCACATAATAGTCGCACCCCCATTCGGGGGGAGCAGCGCAAAATTGTATTTTTATTTTCCTTGCATAATAGTTGCACCCCCATTTTTTTGGGGGGGGAGCAGCAAAATTGTATTTTTTATTTTCCTTGCATAATAGTCACACCCCCATTTGGGGGGCGCAGCAGCATTTTTTTTATTTTCCTTGCATAATAGTTGCACCCCCATTTGGGGGGGGCAGTGGCAAAATTATAATTTTATTTTTCCTTGCATAATATTTGCACCCCCATTTGGGGGAGGGGCAGCGGCAAAATTGTATTTTTATTTTCCTTTCAGAATAGTCGCATCCCCATTTGGGGGCCCAGCAACAAAATTGTATTTTTATTTTCCTTGCATAATAGTCGCATCACATTTGGGGGGGGGGGCAGCGGCAAAATTGTATTTTTATTTTCCTTGCAGAATAGTCGCATCCCCATTTGGGGGCTCAGCAACAAAATTGTATTTTTATTTTCCTTGCATAATAGTCGCATCACATTGGTGGGGGGGGCAGCGGCAAAATTGTATTTTTATTTTCCTTGCAGAATAGTCGCATCCCCATTTGGGGGCTCAGCAACAAAATTGTATTTTTATTTTCCTTGCATAATAGTCGCATCACATTTGGGGGGGGCAGCGGCAAAATTGTATTTTTATTTTCCTTGCAGAATAGTCGCATCCCCATTTGGGGGCTCAGCAACAAAATTGTATTTTTATTTTCCTTGCATAATAGTCGCATCACATTTGCGGGGGGGGGGGCAGCGGCAAAATTGTATTTTTATTTTCCTTGCATAACAGTCGCATTCCCATTTGGGGGGGGGGAGAGTGGCAAAATTGTATTTTTATTTTACTTGCATAATAGTCGCACCCCCATTTTGTGGGGAATTGACAAGGGCAATTGCGGCAGTATTATCTGCTAGGATATGGAGCCCCCGGTGGCGCAGTGGGTTAAACCCCTGTGCCGGCAGGACTGAAGACCGACAGGCCACAGGTTCGAATCCAAGGAGAACGCAGATGAGCTCCCTCTATCAGCTCCAGCTCCTCATGCAGGGACACGAGAGAAGCCTCCCACAAGGATGATAAAACATCAAAACATCCGGAATGTCCCCTGGGCAACGTCCTTGCAGATGGCCAATTCTCTCACACCAGAAGCAACTTGTAGTTTCTCATGTCGCTCCTGACATGACAAAAAAAATTCTGCTAGGAGAGCCTAGAGCAGTGTTTCTCAACCTGGGGGTCGAGACCCCTGGAGAGGTGTCAGAGGGGTTGCCAAAGACCATAAGAAAACACAGTATTTTATGTTGGTCATGGGGGTCTCTGTGTGGGAAGTCTGGCCCAATTCTATTGTTAGTGAGGTTCAGAATGCTGACTGTAACTGAACTATAACTCCCAGTAACAACAACTCTGAAATGTCAAGGTATATTTTCCCCAAAGTCCTTCTATGTTCACATTTGGGCATATGGAGTATTCATGCCAAGTTTGGTCCAGATCCATCATTGTTTGAGTCCACAGTGCTCTCTGGATGTAGGTGAACTACAACTCCCAAACTCAAGGTCAATACCCACCAAACCCTTCTAGTGTTTTCTGTTGGTCATGGGAGTTCTGTGTGCTAAGTTTGGTTCGATTACATCGTTGGTGGAGTTAAAGAATGCTCTTTGGTTGTAGGTGAACTATATATCCCAACAGAGTCTTAGATGATGATGCTTATATTACTAATAAATATAATATCTTGTATACACATATAATATTGATAATAATATTATAATGTAATCTGAGTCCCTCTACGGAGGTTGAGAAGATATAAAAGTTTTAAATAAATTTAAATAAATAAATAATACAATATAAACCTAATAATAATACAATATAAGAATTATATATTTCATGTTACATGTAATATTACTAATAATATTGCAGTACAGTGGTATAGTACAATATAGTGATATATAACACTAATATTGTGCTGTGCTAATAATAATATATTGTATACACACAGAATATTGATAATAATGCTATAATGCAATACAATATAATAACTGTGCTAATAATATAATATATTGTATATACACAATATTGATAATAATGCTATAATGCAATGCAATATAATAATGCAATGCAATATAATAATAATACAATATAATAATTATATATTTTATATTACATGTACTATTACTAATATTATAGTGGTATAGTACAATATAGTAATATATAATACTAATATTATGCTGTGCTAATAATATAATAATAATATATTTTATATTCAATATAGTAATATATAATACTAATATTGTGCTGTGCTAATAATATAATAATAATATATTTTATATTCAATATAGTAATATATAATACTAATACTGTGCTGAGCTAATAATATAATATATTGTATACATGCATAATATTGATAATAATACTATAATGCAATACAATATAATAATTACATATTTTATACTACATGTACTATTACTAATAATATTACAGTATAGTGGTATAGTACAATATATATTTACAGTAAGTAAGTAAAGTAATAGTACAATATAGAAATATATAATACTAATATTGTGCTGTGCTAATAATATAGTAATATATAATACTAATACTGTGCTGAGCTAATAATATATTGTGTACATGCATAATATTGATAATAATGCTATAATGCAATACAATAATTATATATTTTATATTACATATACTATTACTAATAATATTACAGTGTAGTGGTATAGTACAATATGTACTTACTTACAGTAAGTAAGTAAGTAAAGTAATAGTACAATATAGTAATATGTTGTTGTTGTTCATTCGTTCAGTCGCCTCCGACTCTTCGTGACCTCATGGACCAGCCCACACCAGAGCTCCCTGTCGGCCATCACCACCCCCAGCTCCTTCAAGGTCAGTCCAGTCACTTCAAGGATACCATCCATCCATCTTGCCCTTGGTCGGCCCCTCTTCCTTTTGCCTTCCACTTTCCCCAGCATCATTCCCTTCTCTAAGCTTTGCTGTCTCCTCATGATGTGGCCAAAGGACTTCCACTTTCCCTCTAGTCTCCTTCCCTCCAGTCGGGCTTTCTTTCCTGGAGGATGGACTGGTTGGATCTTCTCGCAGTCCAAGGCACTCTCAGAACTTTCCTCCAACACCACAGCTCAAAAGCATCGATCTTCCTTCGCTCAGCCTTCCTGAAGGTCCAGCTCTCACATCCGTAGGTGACTACAGGGAATACCATGGCTTTGACTAGGCAATGGATCTTTGTTGCCAGTGTGATGTCTCTACTCTTTACTATTTTATCGAGACTGGACATTGCTCTCCTCCCAAGAAGGAAGCGTCTCCTGATTTCCTGGCCACAGTCTGCATCTACAGTCATCTTTGCACCTAGAAATACAAAGTCTGCCTCCACATTTTCTCCCTCTATTTCCCAGTTGTCAATCATTCTTGTTGCCATAATCTTGGTTGTTTTGATGTTTAGCTGCAACCCGGCTTTTGCGCTTTCTTCTTTCACCTTGATTAGAAGGCTCCTCAGCTCCTCCTCGCTTTCGGCCATCAGAGTGGTGTCATCTGCATATCTGAGGTTGTTAATGTTTCTTCCAGCCATTTTCACCCCAGCTTTGCATTCATCCAGCCCCGCACATCCTCGCATGATGTGTTCTGCATACAAGTTAAAAAGGTTGGGTGAGAGGATGCAGCCTTGCCGTACGCCTTTCCCAATCTTGAACCAGTCTGTTGTTCCGTGGTCAGTTCTTACTGTTGCTACTTGGTCCTTGTACAGATTCCCTCAGGAGAGAGGGAAGGGGGCTTGGGATGCCCATCCCACCCAGAACTTGCCACCATTTATTATGATCCACACAGTCAAAGGCTTTAGAAGAGTCAATGAAGCAGAAGTAGATGTTTTTCTGAAACTCCCTGCCTTTCTCCATTCTCCAGCGTATATTGGCAATCTGGTCTCTTCTTCCTCTGCCTTTTCTAAACCCAGCTTGAACATCTGGCAACTCTCGCTCCATGTATTGCTGGAGTCTTCCTTGCAGGATCTTGAGCATTACCTTACTGGCATGAGAAATAAGGGCCACGGTATGGAAGTTTGAGCAGTCTTTCGCATTTCCTTTTTTTGGTATGGGGATATAAGTTGATTTTTTCCAATCTGATGGCCATTCTTGTGTTTTCCATATTTGCTGGCAAATGGCATGCATCACCTTGACAGCATCATCTTTTAAGATTTTAAACAGTTCAGCTGGGATCCCGTCGTCTCCTGCTGCCTTGTTGTTAGCAATGCTTCTTAAGGCCCCTTCCACCTCACTCCTCAGGATGTCTGGTTCTAATTCATTCACCACACCGTCAAAGCTATCCTCAATATTATTATCCTTCCTATACAGATCTTCTGTATAGTCTTGTCACCTTCTGTTGATCTCTTCAGCTTCTGTGAGGTCCCTGCCATCTTTGTTTCTTATCATACCAATTTTTGCCTGAAATTTACCTCCAATGTTTCTAATTTTCTGGAAGAGGTCTCTTGTCCTTCCTATTCTGTTGTCTTCTTCCACTTCCACTAATATTGTGCTGTGCTAATAATATTATATATTGTATACTCATAATACTGATAATAATGCTATAATGCAATACAATAAAATAATAATACAATATAATAATTATACAGTATAGTACAATATTAACTTACTTACAGTAAGTAAGTAATAGTACAATATAGTAATATATAACACTAATATTGTGCTATGCTAATAATATATTATATTTACATATAATTTGTAATAATATAATATATTGTATGTATATATATCTTGTGAGTGAGAAAGGCGGCATAGGAATGTCAATGAATGAATGAATGAATGGCTGTGGGTGTCTCCAGGGAGGACTTCCGGTGTGGCGCGCGGGGCCTGCCGGGAGTTGTAGTCCCGTGCTGTTCTCTGCTCACCTCAGGCAGGGCGTCGAGCGGGGCCTTTCCGAGGGCGAGGGCCAGGCGCGGGAGGGCGGCCTGGGCGCGGCAGGGCATCCGCTCGTGGGACATCAGCAGGTCCGGCAGCGAGAGGAAGCTCTCCTCGGGGCCCAGCCCCGGCTCCACCGCCCAGTAGGCCTCCGACGACGACATGGCGCCTCAGTTTCAAATCCGCGCCGCCACGCATGCGCAGACGCGTCTCCCGACGCTCCTCCCCTCTCGGCCTAGCCAGAGAAAATGGCCGGGAGAAAGTGCGCACGCGCGAATGTGCCGCGCGGCTTGAACTGCGCCTGCGCGAAAGCAGGGCTGCCTTTGTTGGTGGGACTTCCATTCCCAGAAGGCCGGGGAAGTGCGCATGCGCGAATGTGCCGCACGGGTTGAACTGCGCCTGCGCTGAAGCTGGGATGCCTTTCTTTGTGGGACTTCCACTCCCAGAAGCCTCAGCAACTTTAGCCAATGATCATGCATTATGGGAAATGAAGTCCAAAACCACCTAGAGGGCCAAAGCTTGGGAACTATGCCTTCTAAGCTCTTTTACCCCATTCTTGACCACTCTGAGCTTCTCAAACTCATTCAGACTCTCTTCCCATGCAACATTCCCCTTTTATTATTATTATTATTATTATTATTATTATTATTATTATTATTATATTATTATTTTATAGGAAGGCTAATGCTTGCAATAGGGACCTCTGAAATATATTAAACCTGGCATTGCACTGATGGAGTAATTGGATGCAACGTCCAACTTTGTTACTGCAGAGAAACTAATGCTTCTGAGGTCAACATTGACACCGAAATGCAACACTGCTCGAGCTCTGTGAGTGCAGCATTCTTCCGAATGAAGCAGAGAGTGTTTGAGGACCGGGACATCCGTCGGGAGACCAAGGGGCTTGCTTATAAAGCTATTGTCCTCCCAACCCTGCTATACACCTGCGAGACATGGACTGTCTACAGATGTCAACACTGACACCAAAATACAACACTTCCTGAGCTCTGCGAGTGCAGCATTTTTCAAAATGAAGCAGAGAGTGTTTGAGGACTGGGACATCTGTAGGGAGACCAAGGGGCTTGTTTATCAAGCTATTGTCCTCCCAACCCTGTTAAACGCCTCTGAAACGTGGACTGTCTACAGATGTCAACACTGACACCAAAATACAACACTTCCTGAGCTCTGCGAGTGCAGCATTTTTCAAAATGAAGCAGAGAGTGTTTGAGGACTGGAACATCTGTAGGGAGACCAAGGGGCTTGTTTATCAAGCTATTGTCCTCCCAACCCTGTTAAACGCCTCTGAAACGTGGACTGTCTACAGATGTCAACACTGACACCAAAATACAACACTTCCTGAGCTCTGCGAGTGCAGCATTTTTCAAAATGAAGCAGAGAGTGTTTGAGGACTGGGACATCCGTAGGGAGACCAAGGGCTTGTTTATAAAGCTATTGTCCTCCCAACCCTGCTATATGCCTGCGAGACGTGGACTGTCTACAGATATCAACATTGACACTGAAATACAACACCGCCTGAGCTCTGTGAGTGCAGCATTCTTCCGAATGAAGCAGAGAGTGTTTGAGGACTGGGACAACCGTAGGGAGACCAAGGGGCTTGTTTATAAAGCTATTGTCCTCCCAACCCTGCTATACACCTGTGAAACATGGACTGTCTACAGATGTCACACTCAACTCCTGGAACGATTCCATCAGCATGGCTCTGCGAGTGCAGCATTTTTCAAAATGAAGCAGAGAGTGTTTGAGGACTGGGACATCTGTAGGGAGACCAAGGGGCTTGTTTATCAAGCTATTGTCCTCCCAACCCTGTTAAACGCCTCTGAAACGTGGACTGTCTACAGATGTCAACACTGACACCAAAATACAACACTTCCTGAGCTCTGTGAGTGCAGCATTCTTCCGAATGAAGCAGAGAGTGTTTGAGGACTGGGACATCTGTAGGGAGACCAAGGGGCTTGTTTATCAAGCTATTGTCCTCCCAACCCTGTTAAACGCCGCTGAAACGTGGACTGTCTACAGATGTCAACACTGACACCAAAATACAACACTTCCTGAGCTCTGTGAGTGCAGCATTCTTCCGAATGAAGCAGAGAGTGTTTGAGGACCGGGACATCCGTAGGGAGACCAAGGGGCTTGCTTATAAAGCTATTGTCCTCCCAACCCTGCTATACACCTGCGAGACATGGACTGTCTACAGATGTCAACACTGACACCAAAATACAACACTTCCTGAGCTCTGCGAGTGCAGCATTTTTCAAAATGAAGCAGAGAGTGTTTGAGGACTGGGACATCTGTAGGGAGACCAAGGGGCTTGTTTATCAAGCTATTGTCCTCCCAACCCTGTTAAACGCCTCTGAAACGTGGACTGTCTACAGATGTCAACACTGACACCAAAATACAACACTTCCTGAGCTCTGCGAGTGCAGCATTTTTCAAAATGAAGCAGAGAGTGTTTGAGGACTGGAACATCTGTAGGGAGACCAAGGGGCTTGTTTATCAAGCTATTGTCCTCCCAACCCTGTTAAACGCCGCTGAAACGTGGACTGTCTACAGATGTCAACACTGACACCAAAATACAACACTTCCTGAGCTCTGTGAGTGCAGCATTCTTCCGAATGAAGCAGAGAGTGTTTGAGGACCGGGACATCTGTAGGGAGACCAAGGGGCTTGTTTATCAAGCTATTGTCCTCCCAACCCTGTTAAACGCCTCTGAAACGTGGACTGTCTACAGATGTCAACACTGACACCAAAATACAACACTTCCTGAGCTCTGCGAGTGCAGCATTCTTCCAAATGAAGCAGAGAGTGTTTGAGGACCGGGACATCCGTAGGGAGACCAAGGGGCTTGCTTATAAAGCTATTGTCCTCCCAACCCTGCTATACACCTGCGAGACATGGACTGTCTACAGATGTCAACACTGACACCAAAATACAACACTTCCTGAGCTCTGCGAGTGCAGCATTTTTCAAAATGAAGCAGAGAGTGTTTGAGGACTGGAACATCTGTAGGGAGACCAAGGGGCTTGTTTATCAAGCTATTGTCCTCCCAACCCTGTTAAACGCCGCTGAAACGTGGACTGTCTACAGATGTCAACACTGACACGAAATACAACACCGCCTGAGCTCTGCGAGTGCAGCATTCTTCCGAATGAAGCAGAGAGTGTTTGAGGACCGGGACATCCGTAGGGAGACCAAGGGGCTTGCTTATAAAGCTATTGTCCTCCCAACCCTGCTATACACCTGCGAGACATGGACTGTCTACAGATGTCAACACTGACACCAAAATACAACACTTCCTGAGCTCTGCGAGTGCAGCATTTTTCAAAATGAAGCAGAGAGTGTTTGAGGACTGGGACATCTGTAGGGAGACCAAGGGGCTTGTTTATCAAGCTATTGTCCTCCCAACCCTGTTAAACGCCTCTGAAACGTGGACTGTCTACAGATGTCAACACTGACACCAAAATACAACACTTCCTGAGCTCTGCGAGTGCAGCATTTTTCAAAATGAAGCAGAGAGTGTTTGAGGACTGGGACATCTGTAGGGAGACCAAGGGGCTTGTTTATCAAGCTATTGTCCTCCCAACCCTGTTAAACGCCTCTGAAACGTGGACTGTCTACAGATGTCAACACTGACACCAAAATACAACACTTCCTGAGCTCTGCGAGTGCAGCATTTTTCAAAATGAAGCAGAGAGTGTTTGAGGACTGGGACATCTGTAGGGAGACCAAGGGGCTTGTTTATCAAGCTATTGTCCTCCCAACCCTGTTAAACGCCGCTGAAACGTGGACTGTCTACAGATGTCAACACTGACACCAAAATACAACACTTCCTGAGCTCTGCGAGTGCAGCATTTTTCAAAATGAAGCAGAGAGTGTTTGAGGACTGGGACATCTGTAGGGAGACCAAGGGGCTTGTTTATCAAGCTATTGTCCTCCCAACCCTGTTAAACGCCTCTGAAACGTGGACTGTCTACAGATGTCAACACTGACACCAAAATACAACACTTCCTGAGCTCTGTGAGTGCAGCATTCTTCCGAATGAAGCAGAGAGTGTTTGAGGACCGGGACATCCGTAGGGAGACCAAGGGGCTTGCTTATAAAGCTATTGTCCTCCCAACCCTGCTATACACCTGCGAGACATGGACTGTCTACAGATGTCAACACTGACACCAAAATACAACACTTCCTGAGCTCTGCGAGTGCAGCATTTTTCAAAATGAAGCAGAGAGTGTTTGAGGACTGGAACATCTGTAGGGAGACCAAGGGGCTTGTTTATCAAGCTATTGTCCTCCCAACCCTGTTAAACGCCGCTGAAACGTGGACTGTCTACAGATGTCAACACTGACACCAAAATACAACACTTCCTGAGCTCTGTGAGTGCAGCATTCTTCCGAATGAAGCAGAGAGTGTTTGAGGACCGGGACATCCGTAGGGAGACCAAGGGGCTTGCTTATAAAGCTATTGTCCTCCCAACCCTGCTATACACCTGCGAGACATGGACTGTCTACAGATGTCAACACTGACACCAAAATACAACACTTCCTGAGCTCTGCGAGTGCAGCATTTTTCAAAATGAAGCAGAGAGTGTTTGAGGACTGGGACATCTGTAGGGAGACCAAGGGGCTTGTTTATCAAGCTATTGTCCTCCCAACCCTGTTAAACGCCTCTGAAACGTGGACTGTCTACAGATGTCAACACTGACACCAAAATACAACACTTCCTGAGCTCTGCGAGTGCAGCATTTTTCAAAATGAAGCAGAGAGTGTTTGAGGACTGGAACATCTGTAGGGAGACCAAGGGGCTTGTTTATCAAGCTATTGTCCTCCCAACCCTGTTAAACGCCGCTGAAACGTGGACTGTCTACAGATGTCAACACTGACACCAAAATACAACACTTCCTGAGCTCTGCGAGTGCAGCATTTTTCAAAATGAAGCAGAGAGTGTTTGAGGACTGGGACATCTGTAGGGAGACCAAGGGGCTTGTTTATCAAGCTATTGTCCTCCCAACCCTGTTAAACGCCTCTGAAACGTGGACTGTCTACAGATGTCAACACTGACACCAAAATACAACACTTCCTGAGCTCTGTGAGTGCAGCATTCTTCCGAATGAAGCAGAGAGTGTTTGAGGACCGGGACATCCGTAGGGAGACCAAGGGGCTTGCTTATAAAGCTATTGTCCTCCCAACCCTGCTATACACCTGCGAGACATGGACTGTCTACAGATGTCAACACTGACACCAAAATACAACACTTCCTGAGCTCTGCGAGTGCAGCATTTTTCAAAATGTAGCAGAGAGTGTTTGAGGACTGGGACATCTGTAGGGAGACCAAGGGGCTTGTTTATAAAGCTATTGTCCTCCCAACCCTGTTAAACGCCTCTGAAACGTGGACTGTCTACAGATGTCAACACTGACACCAAAATACAACACTTCCTGAGCTCTGCGAGTGCAGCATTTTTCAAAATGTAGCAGAGAGTGTTTGAGGACTGGGACATCTGTAGGGAGACCAAGGGGCTTGTTTATAAAGCTATTGTCCTCCCAACCCTGTTAAACGCCTCTGAAACGTGGACTGTCTACAGATGTCAACACTGACACCAAAATACAACACTTCCTAAGCTCTGCGAGTGCAGCATTTTTCAAAATGTAGCAGAGAGTGTTTGAGGACTGGGACATCTGTAGGGAGACCAAGGGGCTTGTTTATAAAGCTATTGTCCTCCCAACCCTGTTAAACGCCTCTGAAACGTGGACTGTCTACAGATGTCAACACTGACACCAAAATACAACACTTCCTGAGCTCTGCGAGTGCAGCATTTTTCTAAATGAAGCAGAAAGTGTTTGAGGACTGGAACATCCGTACGGAGACCAAGGGGCTTGTCTATCAAGCTATTGTCCTCCCAAGCCTGCTATACGCCTGCGAAACGTGGACTGTCTACAGATGTCAACACTGACACCAAAATACAACACCTCCTGAGCTCTGCGAGTGCAGCATTTTTCTAAATGAAGCAGAAAGTGTTTGAGGACTGGGACATCCGTACGGAGACCAAGGGGCTTGTCTATCAAGCTATTGTCCTCCCAAGCCTGCTATACGCCTGCGAAACGTGGACTATCTACAGACGTCACATGCAACTCCTGGAACGATTCCATCAGCGTTGACTCCGGAAAATCCTGCAAATCTCTTGGGAAGACAAGTGGTGGAAGAAGAAGCAAAGACCACCAGCATCAAAGTGATGGTCCTCTGCCATCAACTCCGCTGGACAGGCCACGTTGTCCGGATGCCTGACCACCATCTCCCAAAGCAGTTGCTCTACTCCGAACTCAAGAACGGAAAACGGAATGTTGGTGGGCAGGAAAAGAGATTGAAAGATGGGCTCAAAGCCAACCTTCAAAACTCTGGCATAGACACTGAGAACTGGGAAGCCTTGAGTGCTCCAGTTGGAGGTCGGCTGTGACCAGCAGTGCTGCGGAATTCGAAGAGGCACGAATGGAGGGAGAAAGAGAGAAACGTGGACTCCTCCTTTTTTCTACAGAGGCTCGGGGCATTGTCTGGCTTCCTAGGCCCAAGCAGCCCAAACACAGGCCCCTTTAGCACCTGCATTCAGCAGTCTGTTGATACCACCAGCACTCTTGATGCTGGTTTGCTGTGTGTACGGAAGGCGCTACCATGGCGACCACAATGACCCAACAGTAGCAGAATGTCCCGGGATGGATCCTGGGAGGTGACCATTCCCTGGTTCTGTCTAGCCATAGCCGGACAGAGCAGGCCTCCCAAGTGTACCATGGCTGGACCGCAGAGGTGCCGTTGGTCAGTGGTCAGCCTGCTCCCCTTCGTCCTGCGCTGGACCTCCCTTCTGCCGCCTGCTTTAGCCGGTGAGTCCCGGTTGAGGGCTGACACGTATTGGGGAGGGCATTGAATTTCACCAGTACATTTCTCTATTTCCCTTTATCTATTCATTTGTGTATTTCTCTCTCTATCCATCCTTCTATCTCTCTCTCTTTCTTTCAATCAATCTATATTCCCATCCATCCATCCATCCAATACATTTTTTCTCTCCATATCTCTCTTCACCTGTGCCTCTCTCTCCCCATCCATTCATCCAACAGTGCATTTCTCTTTCTCCATCTATCTATTAACCCCTTCCTTCCTTCCTTCCTTCTTTCCTTCCTTCCTTCCTTTTCTCTTTCTTTCTTTCTTTCTTTCTTTCTTTCTTTCTTTCTTTCTTTCTTTCTTTCTTTCTTCCTATCCATTCTCCCACCAATCCATTTCTCTCTTCCTCCATCTCTTTCTTCACCTGTGTCTTTCTCTATCACCGACCTATTTATCCACCAACCCATCTATCTGACAATTATTGATCTGTTCTCCAATATATTTCTTTATCTTTTCAATTGGATCTTTCTCTATCTATCCATCCATCCATCCATCCACCCACCAATCCATCTCTATCTGTTCACCTGTATCTTTATCTATCTATCTATCCATCCATCCATTCACCCACCAATCCATCTCTATCTGTTCACCTGTATCTTTATCTATCTATCTATCTATCTATCTATCTATCCATCCATCCATCCACCAAACCATCTCTATCTCGTCACCTGTATCTTTATCTATCTATCTATCTATCTATCCATCCATCCATCCACCAAACCATCTCTATCTCTTCACCTGTATCTTTATCTTATCTATCTATCTATCTATCTATCTATCCATCCATCCATCCACCAAACCATCTCTATCTCGTCACCTGTATCTTTATCTATCTATCTATCTATCTATCTATCTATCTATCTATCTATCCATCCATCCATCCACCAAACCATCTCTATCTCTTCACCTGTATCTTTATCTTATCTATCTATCTATCTATCTATCTATCTATCTATCCATCCACCCACCAATCCATCTCTATCTGTTCACCTGTATCTTTATCTATCTATCTATCTATCTATCTATCTATCTATCTATCCATCCATCCATCCATCCACCAAACCATCTCTATCTCTTCACCTGTATCTTTATCTATCTATCTATCTATCTATCTATCTATCTATCTATCTATCTATCCATCCATCCATCCTACCTACCTACCCATCCAACCTACCTACCTACCTATCTATCCATACAACCATCCCTCCATCCCACCAATCCATCTCTATCTGTTCACCTGTATCTTTCTCTATCTATCCATCCATCCATCCATCCATCCACCAATCCATCTCTATCTGTTCACCTGTATCTCCATCTATCTAGCTATCCATCCATCCATCCATCCATCCATCCATCCACCCACCAAACCATCTCTATCTGTTCACCTGTATCTTTATCTATCTATCTATCTATCTATCTATCTATCTATCCATCCATCCATCCATCCACCAAACCATCTCTATCTCGTCACCTGTATCTTTATCTATCTATCTATCTATCTATCTATCTATCTATCCATCCATCCACCAAACCATCTCTATCTCTTCACCTGTATCTTTATCTTATCTATCTATCTATCTATCTATCCATCCATCCATCCATCCACCCACCAATCCATCTCTATCTGTTCACCTGTATCTTTATCTATCTATCTATCTATCTATCTATCTATCTATCTATCTATCTCATCCATCCATCTCTATCTATCCCTATCTTATCTATCTATCTATCATCCATCATCAATCTATCTATCTCTATTATCTATCTATCTTATCTATCTATCTATTTATCTATCTATCTATCTTCTCTATCCATCCATCCATCCCCATCCATCCATCTCATATCTATCACTATCTATCTATCTATCTATCTACTATCTATCTACATCTATCTATCTATCTATCTATCTATCCATCCACCATCCATCTATTATCCATCTATCTATTCACCTGTATCTTTCATCTATCTATCTATCTATCTATCTATCTATCTATCTATCCATCCATCCATCCATCCACCCACCAATCCATCTCTATCTGTTCACCTGTATCTTTATCTATCTATCTATCTATCTATCTATCTATCTATCTATCTATCCATCCATCCATCCACCCACCAATCCATCTCTATCTGTTCACCTGTATCTTTATCTATCTATCTATCTATCTATCTATCTATCCATCCATCCATCCATCCACCAAACCATCTCTATCTCGTCACCTGTATCTTTATCTATCTATCTATCTATCTATCTATCTATCTATCCATCCATCCACCAAACCATCTCTATCTCTTCACCTGTATCTTTATCTTATCTATCTATCTATCTATCTATCCCATCCATCCATCCATCCATCCACCCACCAATCCATCTCTATCTGTTCACCTGTATCTTTATCTATCTATCTATCTATCTATCTATCTATATCCATCCATCCATCCATCCACCAATCCATCTCTATCTGTTCACCTGTATCTCCATCTATCTATCTATCCATCCATCCATCCACCCACCTATCTCTTCACCTGTATCTTTATCTTATCTATCTATCTATCTATCTATCCATCCATCCATCCATCCACCAAACCATCTCTATCTCTTCACCTGTATCTTTATCTATCTATCTATCTATCTATCTATCTATCTATCTATCTATCTATCCATCCATCCATCCATCCACCCACCAATCCATCTCTATCTGTTCACCTGTATCTTTATCTATCTATCTATCTATCTATCTATCTATCTATCCATCCATCCATCCATCCACCAAACCATCTCTATCTCTTCACCTGTATCTTTATCTTTATCTATCTATCTATCTATCTATCTATCTATCCATCCATCCATCCATCCACCCACCAATCCATCTCTATCTGTTCACCTGTATCTTTATCTATCTATCTATCTATCTATCTATCCATCCATCCATCCATCCACCAAACCATCTCTATCTCTTCACCTGTATCTTTATCTATCTATCTATCTCTATCCATCTATCTATCCATCCATCCATCCATCCACCAAATCCATCTCTATCTGTTCACCTGTATCTTTATCTATCTATCTCTATCTATCTATCTATCTATCTATCCATCCATCCATTCACCCACCAATCCATCTCTATCTGTTCACCTGTATCTTTTATCTATCTATCTATCTATCTATCTATCTATCTATCCATCCATCCATCCATCCACCAAACCATCTCTATCTCTTCACCTGTATCTTTATCTTATCTATCTATCTATCTATCTATCTATCTATCTATCTATCCATCCATCCATCCACCCACCAATCCATCTCTATCTGTTCACCTGTATCTTTATCTATCTATCTATCCATCCATCCATCCATCCACCCACCAATCCATCTCTATCTGTTCACCTGTATCTTTATCTATCTATCTATCTATCTATCTATCTATCTATCCATCCATCCATCCACCAAACCATCTCTATCTCTTCACCTGTATCTTTATCTATCTATCCTATCATCATCCATCCATCCATCCACCCACCAATCCATCTCTATCTGTTCACCTGTATCTTTATCTATCTATCTATCTATCTATCTATCTATCTATCCATCCATCCATCCACCAAACCATCTCTATCTCGTCACCTGTATCTTTATCTATCTATCTATCTATCTATCTATCCATCCATCCATCCACCCACCAATCCATCTCTATCTCTTCACCTGTATCTTTATCTTATCTATCTATCTATCTATCTATCTATCTATCTATCTATCCATCCATCCATCCATCCATCCACCAAACCATCTCTATCTGTTCACCTGTATCTTTATCTATCTATCTATCTATCTATCTATCTATCTATCTATCTATCTATCCACCCATCCATCCATCCACCAAACCATCTCTGTCTCTTCACCTGTATCTTTATCTATCTATCTATCTATCTATCTATCTATCTATCTATCCATCCATCCATCCATCCACCAAACCATCTCTATCTCTTCACCTGTATCTTTATCTTATCTATCTATCTATCTATCCATCCATCCATCCATCCACCCACCAATCACCATCTATCTCGCCTATCTTATCTATCCATCCATCCATCCATCCATCCACCAATCTACCTATCTATCACCATCCATCCATCCATCCATCCATCCATCCACCATCCATCCATCCCTCCATCCATCCATCCACCCACCAATCCATCTATCTATCTATCTATCTATCTATCTATCCATCTATCATCTATCTATATCTATCCATCCATCCATCCATCCATCCACCAATCCATCTCTATCTGTTCACCTGTATCTCCATCTATCTAGCTATCCATCCATCCATCCATCCATCCATCCATCCATCCATCCACCCTATCTATCCACCCATCCATCCATCCACCAAACCATCTCTGTCTCTTCACCTGTATCTTTATCTATCTATCTATCTATCTATCTATCTATCTATCTATCTATCCATCCATCCATCCACCCACCAATCCATCTCTATCTCTTCACCTGTATCTTTATCTTATCTATCTATCTATCTATCTATCTATCTATCTATCTATCCATCCATCTCAGTCCATCCATCCTTCACCATCTGTCAGTTCATCTATCTATCTATCTGTCTATCTATCTTTGTTCATTCGTTCAGTCGTCTCCGACTCTTCGTGACCTCATGGACCAGCCCACGCATATCTATCTATCTATCATCTATCTATCTATCCATCATCCATCAATCCATCCATCATCCATCATCCATCTGTCAGTCTGTATCTGTCTATCTATCTATCTATCTATCTATCTATCTATCTATCTATCTATCCATCCATCCATCCATCCATCCATCCCCATCCATCATCTACCTATCTACCTTTATCTCTATCTATCTATCTATCTATCTATCTATCTATCTATCCATCCATCCATCCATCCATCCACCAAACCATCTCT